GATTCACCGTCCATTATTAGGTTATCTGAACCATTGACGAGTGATTTATTTACCGCAAGATTCGCGGATTATCTTGAGACCATGTTCTCATTACTTGGGAAACCAAAGGCTTCCAAAGATGGATAGCATGAAAACTTGATGTTTTCTCATAGAAAAAAGACTGTCTCATTAAGACCCAATAATACATGAATGTGAAAGGTGCAAAATTTGATCCATTTGCAAGTTATTGCAATCAATTTGCCCAATCTATTTCATCAGACTGGTAAAGTTACAAACTTTTAAGCTATGAATATTCCAGCTAAGATAGATGTTCTTGAAGAACATGATGGATCAAAGTGACCATGCCTGGAGCATGAAAGACCGATGGGATCAAATGATATAGTTCCTCGAAAAAGAAGGGGGAGAAATTTAGAATCTACTCTAGAAGAGCATATTGGTCTTTATCGAGGAAATCGAGTTGCCTTTAATATGGCACAAAATGAAGAGAGCAAAATACCGAGTAATATTGCCCATATTGCCCTTGAGGAGGCACAATTCATGAGCAAATTGCCTTGTAGTGGTACAAACCCATGAAAAGATCACCGACCCCGGGAATACTAGAATTTCCATTGTAATGAGGTAATCATCAACGATGCCTTCGCTCTCTAAATCGCTCATGAAATTATGAATGATGATAATGAATCTCAATTTATAATCATATGTCATCAAAGGCAAGATTGGCCTAAATGAAAGGAAGCAATCAAGGTTGAGTTGGCTTCCTTTGCCAAAGAATGATGTCTTTGGACTCAAACCCATTAGATTGAAATGGGTATTTGTTTGGAAATGAATTAAGGTCGTGAGGTATAAAACCCAACCTGTAGCCCAAGAGTTCACTTAGAGAACTGGGTTTGATTATAATGGTATTTATTCACTTGTTGATGAATACGATTACCTTTCTTTTTTCTTAAAAAGTTGGAAACATGTTACATGAACATTGTGATGACATACATATGGTTCAAAGGATATAATATGCCTGAAGCATACATTTTGATATTTATATGAAAATTCTCAAAGGATTTAAAATGCCTGAAGCATATACTCCCCGCAACTTATTCTCAAAAGTTGCAAAAGATCTTTATATGGGTTGAAGCAATCCAGACACATGTGGTATCAACACTTAAGCGTGTTCTTATTAAGAAAGATTATAAAAAAATCCCATCTACCCATGTGTGTTTACTAAGAAATTGAAAACCGGATTTGTTATAGTAGCGGTTTATGTCGACGATATAAATGTGATTGAAACTCCTGAAGAGTTATCCTAAACTGCTAACTATTTGAAAATGGAGTTTGAGGATTTGGGTAAAACCAAAATTATGCCTTGGTCTACTAGCTTGAGCATAAAGCAAATGATATACTTTAAGCACCCCTATGGTTATAAATTATAAGGTCCATTGATCCCAAATGGACATTCGTCCTAAACAAACCAATGAGGATATGCTTGGTCCTGAAGTACCATACTTCAATGCTATCAGGGGATTAATGTATTTGAGAGAATTCATTAATGGTGATTAGACCAAGAACATCTCGTCTAAATTTTATACTCATGAACTCCAAGAAAGTCGACAAGTTGATGCTAAATAGATTCGCTCAGCCAATAATCTTGCAAATTTATTTACCAAATTATTGCCAGCATCAACATTTGAGAAATTACTTTATGGCTTTGGTATATGTGGCGAGCTAGTAAAATGCAAGGTTGAATTCCCCAGAAGTGGAAATTATTAGATGCCCCAGAAATGGCAATTTGCTTTAATTCAGGGGGAGCGATTATAGTGCGCTGCACTCTTTTTCCCTTATGTTCTGTTTTTATCCCACTGGGTTTTACCGACTTAAGGTTTTTAACGAGGCAGCTATAGCACATTAAATTAATATTGTCCTGAAGACAAATTAGAAGGACAATGTTGTACTCTTTTTCCCATATGTCCAGATTTTATCCCACTGGGTTTTTCCGACTTAATGCTTTTAACGAGGCAACACATATATGTCCAATTAGGCCGTTAGAGTGGTGTTCAGTCCAAGGGGGAGTGTTATGAAATAGTGGACTTACCACACCACATCAAGGTCTATATTATCTACTGGGTTTTATCTTGTAGAATATCTGAATAGATTTAAAGAGATACAGAGAGAATATTTCAGAGAATATTATCAACAGAAGATATCATCAGAAGATTTCAACTGAAGATTATCTGGAGATTATCTGAAGAATTTAAGTAGATTATATTTAGATATTATTTGATTATGTAATCTTGATTTGATTTAGATTTTATCTCTTCAGATGATCTTGACCGTTGTAACTTTCAGCTATAAATAGGCTACCTCAGTTCAGTTGTAAACACGCCTCATTTCTGTATTCCATTCTCTCTAGAGTATAAAGAAATTCTCTCTCATTTCTCTCTATATTGTTCTTCGCGTTCTTATTAGTTTTATAACATTAATTAGTTTTTATCATTTGTTGTTTTGTTGGAGACGCCACTAACCAAAAGAATACTGGATTTAAGATTTCTTCATTTTGACCGGGTGGCCGAGAAAGCATAATGAAGTCATGTAAGGGTGTGAATTTCAAGTCGCGCACCCTCTTCCCTTTCCTCTTTCCATGGCCTGTTTTCTTTTGCTTTGCTTATATATGGGCAAATCTGCCGTTGGCGGAATCAGATTGTGTTTGAAAAGGGGTTCTTATGGCCTGATGAATGATGATGCTCAGTTCCGCATAGCTGCAAATCAGATGGCACAGCTTCGAATCCCCCATAGGAAAGTTGATATTTTTGTTACATGGCTCCAAGGATCCTTTGTTCTTGCCAATTCACCAAGCACTTTGCATCGGTTGATTATGAAAGACATTTTTTTGTGTAGCTAGGCCTTGTAGTTAATTAAAGTGGTCTTAAGACCGGTCCAGATCAGTAAATTAGAAAAAAAAAAAAAAGTAAGTTTATTTGCTTATACCATATTAATGAGTTTGGTAAAAGTATATATAGTATTAGTAAGTTATATTGGGCTTGGATTATATATATTTGGGGCTGTTAATTAGATAGTGGTCCAATTTTATGGTAGACTTTAGATGAACTGTCATCACATCAATGGAGTCCAATCCATTCTGAAGTTGTTTCCCTTACATGTGAGCTATAACAAGATAGCAACGTTTTTAATATAAAAAGGAAACCTATATATGCCATGATTTTTGTTTCTAAGAAAAGAGAAAGGAGACTAATTAAAATCGATCAAATTCCATCTCCAATCCAAGCTTCATCACTAGCTATATATAGAAGCCTATCCCAATTACCTAACAAGCCGATAATGGATGGACCATCTTCCCAATATCTCTATATTTTTGTGTTTCCTTTTACAAAAAGTAGTGATTCTTTCTTATCTTTTCGTTCAATTTGTACGGATTATTTCATCATTTATTTGCAAGCTTTATTACAATTTTCCTTCCTTTTTCTTTGAGGTCCTAAAAATATCTGTAACTTTCCTCCATTTTCTTTACTTTTTAGGAAGGAAATTAAGGATTCGAAACTCATTAATAAACAAAAAGGCTAATTGCTCAAATAAGGGCCTAACGTTTGCCAAAATGCTCAAATAAGGGCCCGATCTTTTAATTTGGTCAAATAAGGGCCTAAAGTTTGCCAAAATGCTCAAATAAGGGCCCATCTTTGAATTTGGCCAAATAAGGGCCTAACGTTTGCCAAAATGCTCAAATAAGGGCCTGTCGCACGCGTCATCCAAATTGACATCAGGCCCTTATTTGAGCATTTTCGATAACGTTAGGTCCTTATTTGGCCAAATTAAAAGATCAGACACTTATTTGAGCATTTTCGATAATGTTAGGTCCTTATTTGGACAAATTAAAAAATCGGATCCTTATTTGAGCATTTTGGCAAACATTAGGCCCTTATTTGAGCAATTAGCCAAACAAAAATCACAAGTTTAGCTAATCTATGAGCCAATTTAGCTAATGAAGGTCCAAAACTAAGGTATCTCTTTTTTTTTTTGGTAATAGTAATACAAAACTAAGATATCACATCATATATTACTATTAATTAATTAAGTATGATTTTTTTATTTCGTCACACGGTTTTTTTTGGATCCTAAATTTGCGGACTCCTTAGTGAGAGCATTTTCCCATGCTTTATGCATGTTTCTTTCCCTTGATTTCAAGGATTCTCTCCTTTGATTTCATCTTTCTGTTACCAAATCTCTTCAATCATATCTTTTAATCAATCATGGCGGATGATATTGATAACCTGTGGTCAAAATTAACCCTGTGTGATGAAGAAAACAGCGTTGTAGCAGTGCATCAAAATACGGTGGTTGAAGCCAATACCCACTGTTTGATTGGAAGAAGTCTCTCTAGAAAACCCATTAATATTGATATTCTCCGTTCAGTTCTTTACAAAATCTGGAGATTGAATCATGCCTTCCAAGTGTCTGAATTGGGAGAAAAATTGTACCTGTTTCGGTTTGAAAGAGTTGGTGAGATGAACAGGATCCTACTCCAACAACCATGGAATTTCAACAAAGCATTGATTGTCCTGAATGAGTTTGATGGTTCTTCCCCACCGGATGCCATTAATCTCGATTGGTGCTCTTTTTGGGTTCATATTTATGGTTTGCCATTTGCCTGTATGACTGCAGAAACTGGTCTTTCGATTGGAAAACAGATTGGTATTGTGGAGGAGGTAAATCTATGTGGTGACAAGGCTACTTGGGGTAAATTTCTGCGAGTTCGGATCTCCATGAACATCACCAAACCACTTAAACGAGGAACCAAAGTTCAATTGCCTCTTCAAGGAATTTCGGTTGTTATGTTTAAGTATGAAAAACTGCCAGACTTTTGCTTTGTGTGTGGTTGCCTGACACATATTGAAACTGAATGTGAAATTGCCTATACTATGAAGAAGAATACTAGGAAATACATCAGACAATATGGAAACTGGTTGCGTGCTGAAGTCCCTGGATCATTAACAAACACCTTTGAAGCCCCTACCATCTCCATGTCCACTCACAGTTGCAATTTATTTGGGGAACAATATGGCCATCATCACCCAAAAATTGGAATGGGAGGGCAATCTCCTATTGATAAAGTTGCAGATAATTCTCTGATGTTTGATTCGACTCCTAACAAAGGCATACTGACTGTACCTGCTGAAAATGCTATACCTGACCCTCAATTGACCCCAACTCCAATTGCTGATTTACAAGATCATGAAATGAACACCAATTTGGCAGTTATCTCCAAGAACTTGGCAGATCAAAAATTAATCTCGGGTGATGATGATAATTTGACTCAGAAGGCAAAACAACCTGTTCAGTTGGGTGAAAGCAGTACATCTGGGGTTGACAAAAGTACCTTTGTTTTTAGTTCTGCAAACTCCAATCCAATTCCCCTTTCCAAGCGTCCCTCTCATTGGAAGCGAACGGCAAGATCCAACGCTTCTAAGAGTGCTATGGCTGCAGTGTCTTCTAAGGGTGGAAAGCGAATATCAGGAAGGGTTGATACTGATGAAGGAGCCTCTTCTTTGACATCAAAGAAGCTTCGAGACCATGGAATTATTGAGAAGAATCTCTCTGATGTCCCAATATCGGTGAGGAAAGGGTTACTAAGCCCTCCTCGCCGTGACCTATGAATCTCATATGCTGGAATTGTCGAGGACTTGGGGCACCTCGATCAATTCATATCTTGACTGATCTAGTCAAGCAAACTAGGCCCTGTATAGTATTTCTATCAGAAACCAAAAGAACTACGGGAGAGATAGATTGGTTGAAGACAAAAATTGGGTTTGAACATTGCTTCAGTGTGAATTGTATTGGACGGGGTGGAGGACTGGCCTTACTTTGGTCTTCTGAGATATCTATTAACATACTATCTTATTCTATTAATCATATTGATGCTGAGGTGAATTTGCAAGGACAATCCCCTTGGCATTTTACAGGCTTTTATGGCAATCCGGTGACTACAAACAGAGTGCACTCTTGGCAATTACTTCGTTCTTTGAAGGCAAGATCACATCTTTCTTGGGTTTGTGGTGGTGACTTTAACGAAATTACTAATTTGGATGAAAATTTGGGAGGAGCAGCACGTCCACAATGGCAAATGGACAATTTTAATCAAGCTATTGGTGATTGTGAACTTCATTCAATTCCAGTAAAAGGGCCGAGGTTGACTTGGAGTAAATATATGGATGGGGAGCGGATTTTTGAGCGATTGGACAGATTTTTGGTGACAGAGGATTGGCTCCAAATGTTTAATTTCTCTTTTGAGGAACATCTTGTGACATCTGTATCAGATCATCTCCCAATCTCTTTACACATTTTGAACCATCCAGATCATCAAATCCGGAGCAAGAAACAATTCAGATTTGAGAACATGTGGTTAGAGCATGAAGATATTCAGAATGTTGTGTCTCAAAGTTGGTGTTCGGCTACTACTGATTGTGTTAAAGATCGAATAGAAACATGCAGCAAGGCTTTGATTCAGTGGGACAAATCAGTTTTTGGCAATGTTAGATCAAAAATTGCTGTGAAGAAAAAGAATACAATGCATTGTATACAGAGGGGCAAGAGGGAGGAGATTGCAGCTTGTTGAAACAATGTGAAAGGGATCTCAATTTGCTTTACAAACAAGAAGAAACGCTGTGGTGGCAACGCTCAAGATCATTATGGCTAAGGGATGGGGATAAGAACACAAAATATTTCCATTCAACAGCTACACTTAGAAAGCGTAGAAGTTGTATAAACAGCATTACAGATGATGCCGGTCAAGTTTTTTCAGATGAAGATAATATCACAAGGGTGATTTTGGATTATTATCAGTCCATATTTACATCAGATAATCCTGACCTATCTAATATTCAAGAAGTCTCGAACCTTATTGGTACTAGACTTACTAATGAGATGAGAGATTTATTAGACCAGGATTTTACTGAGGAAGATATCAAAGTGGCTACCTTTCAAATGAACCCAAGCAAAGCGCCAGGTCCTGATGGCATGAATCCCTGCTTTTATCAGAAATTTTGGCATGTTATTGGTAAAGATGTTTCTACTATGGCGCTGCAATTTCTCAATGCTGGGCTACCACTGTCGGATATTAACCATACTACCATTGTGTTAATTCCGAAATTGGCTAATCCAAACAATGTGAAAGAGTATAGACCTATTAGCCTTTGTAATGTAATTATCAAGATTATTACAAAGGCAATTACTAATAGGTTGAAGCTAATCTTGCCTCAGATAATCAGTGAAACACAGAGTGCTTTTGTGCCGGATCGACAAATCTTTGATAATTTGATAATTGCTTTTGAAACCATCCATCATATGGCCAACCGTAGAGCTGGTAATAATTTTCATATGGCTTTGAAATTGGATCTAAGCAAAGCATATGACAGAGTTGAATGGCAATTTTTAGAAGAAGTTATGAGAGGCATGGGGTTTTCTGAACGGTGGATTTTCCGTGTGATGACGTGTGTGCGTACAGTGACTTACTCCGTAAGTGTTAATGGTAATCATAGTGGAAGGATTATTCCGACAAGGGGAATACACCAAGGAGATCCTCTCTCTCCATATCTTTTTCTTCTTTGTATGGAGGGATTCACAAGTCTGTTGCAAAGAGCGGAAAATAATGGTCTGATTCAAGGGGTTGCTGTTGCCCGCCATGCTCCGAGAATCTCACACTTATTCTTCGCAGATGATAGCTTATTATTTATTAGAGCTCAAAGTAGTGATTGCACAACTATTATAGATGTCCTGCATAAGTTCGAACTAGCTTCTGGGCAGCAAATCAATATAGAGAAATCCTCTGTATTCTTCAGTTCCAACACACCGGAAAATACAAGATCATCAATTATGGAGTTGCTTGGAGTCAGAAAAATTTTGGACAGGGACAAATATCTGGGTTTACCGATTATGCTTGGTAGATCAAAGAAAAGGGAGCTGCAATATATCAAGAATCGATTGCTGGCAAAAATTAGAGGCTGGAATTGTCGATTTCTCTCTATTGCTGGTAAATCTATTCTAATTCAGTCCACTGCTCAATCCATTCCCCAATATCTTATGAGTGTATTTAAGTTTCCACAAACTTTTTTACATGAGTTAAATATGGCGGTGGCTAATTATTGGTGGGGAAAAGGCAGTGAGAGACGCAGTATTCACTGGAAAAATTGGAGTTCATTGTGCATCTCAAAGCTAGATGGAGGATTGGGATTTAGAGACTTTGAAGCTTTCAATTTAGCTCTTTTGGCCAAACAATGTTGGCGCCTTATGCATAACCAGCAATCCCTCTGTTTCAGATTGTTAAAAGCAAAATATATTAACAATTCAAATTTTCTACAGGCTAATTTAAGGACTAATCCTTCATTCGTATGGAGAAGTCTCTTGGCTGGAAGGAAGATCCTTGTCGAGGGCTCAAGATGGAGGATTGGATCTGGATTTTCAGTGCCTGTGAGGAATGCTAAATGGATTAACAAACCACCGACTTATTGTCCTCAACTCCTAGAGGGTGTTCAACCGAACCATATGATTATGGCTGAGTTAATTCATCAAACTGATCGGAGGTGGCTTGTTGATAAACTGCAGGAGCTTTTTATTGAAGAAGATGTTTACCAAATAGCAAGTATACCTCTGCCATTAGAGTTTGAATCTGATAGCCTAACATGGAATCACTGAACAGTTGGGGAATACACTGTTAAATCTGGATATTTTGTTGCTCGAACACTCCTTGGTCATGATGAACATCCACAGCACTTAAGGTCTCCCATTTGGCGAATGGTATGGCAATCTCGTGTTTATCCAAAAATTAAATATTTTATGTGGAGATTAATTTGGAATATCTTGCCTGGAAAATTGAATTTGAGACATAGAGGAGTTGAAGTTGAGGAAGATTGTAATGTTTGTGCTGGTATAGAATCCTCTATAATTCATGTCTTTTTTTACTGTCACTTTGCTAGAGAAGTTTGGCGTTTGTCCTGCCCTTGGATTATACAGTTTTTGGAAGCTTCACATGATCAGCATGATTTTTGGCAGAATTTGTTTATGAAGGCAAATGATGAAGATTTCTTAGATTTGCTATTTATAACTCTCTGGCTTATTTGGTATAATAGAAATAAATGTGTCTTTGAATCAAGATGTTTTCTTCCTAGTGTTTTGGTTCATCGAGCAACAGAAACTCTCCGAAATCCAACATCTACTACTCCTCATCACAATGCTCCACCTTCCACATTGAATCCACCTTCACCAAATAATTTGTGTTTGAATATAGATGCTTCTTATATTCAGGGTAGTGGGCAATCTAATCTTGGAGCAGTAATAAGAGACTCATCTGGTAGAATCTTTTGCTCGGCTATTAAGCATGTTCTCTACACCAATTCTGCTCTACATGCTGAGGTGCTTGGTATTCAATTTGGTTTGCAAGTGGCGTTGAGAAGCAATGTTGACAGGATTGAGATTCAAACTGATTGCTTGTTAGCAGTGCATGAGATCAACAAAGGCAACAATTCAAGATGGGATGCAGGCTGTTTGATCACTGAAATAAATCACCTAGCTTCCTTGTTCTCCTATTGTTCCTTCTCTCATATTAATCGTAATTGTAATGTCTTAGCACATATATTAGCACAACAAAACTTTGGTGTTAATGCTAACTATGTTTGGTATAGAATCTTACCTCCATGCGTTTGTAATCCTGATGATTAATCAATATCAAGTATTATCTTTTCACTCAAAAAGAAAATTAAGTATGGAGGAGTTTCCCATATTGGGTCTCCCGGCCCCAAATAAGTTAATTATTTTTTATGATCATACCGATTTCTTTTGTTTTGATTTAAAATGGACAAAACAATCGCTTTCCTTTAATGCCTCCGAAAAAAACAGACAAATTGATAGAGAAAACATGGGAAAAAAAATTAAAAGAGCAAAAATATCACTAAAAGAAGCATCTTATTCTCATATATATATCCATCAACTTCATTCACAGCTTGTCTAAATACATTAATTCCACACTACTACCAAAACACAAAACAAAGAACACTTTTTTTTTTCTTTTTCATGATTTAAAAGTAAAAAAAGAAAAAAAGACAAGTATTTAGACAAGCCCTTCTTCACTTCACATCCATCTCATATAGCATATTACCTGCAAAATGAAACAAACACAAAACATTCCTTAGAAACAAAATACTACTTATAATAACATTAATATATACAGATAAATAAAAATAAAAAATGGGAAAGAAAATCTTAGTATTATTATTTTCTTTTCACCCATATATAGTAAGTAATAAATAGTAGTATAAATAGCATTAATTAGACAGATCAATTAACTAATCCTTAAATTGCTCTCTCCGTTGATCACGGATATGATCAATCCCAAAAGTCGCCATCTCCATATAGATCCACAAATTCCTCATCAAAAATTAATGAATGATCAAAGAAAATTGACCAATTTTCTATTCATTTTCATTCATTATCTAATATATCTAAAATGACGAAAATACCCTTTCAAAAAAAAAAAAAGAAGAGAAGTGTATATTGTTACACTTACCAATAATATGGTAGGGTAATGAGATGATGATGATGAAGATGGATAGTTTAGTCATCATCACTGCTGCTGCTGCTCTCATGGCCATCATCATGCTTCTTCTTCTCCTTCTTCTTCTTCTTCTCCCCATCATGGCCATGGCCGTGCTCTCCGCCTTCTCCGTGGATCTTGTCCTTAATCTTGTCCATCATCCCGCCGCCTTCCTTGTGCTCTCCGCCGTGGCCATGGCCGTGCTCTCCCTTGTGCTGATCGCCATGGCACTGCTCGCCTGCATGGTGGCCCTCTCCCTTGTGCTTCTCTTCCTCCTTCTTGTGCCCTCCCATGTGAAGGGTTTCCTCAATTTTGTGCATAATTCCTGACATTTTTGTTTCTGATGAACAAATTGAATCTGATCTCTCTTTTTTTTTTTTTTCTTTTCTGTGATTCTGTTTTCTTGCTTTTGTGTGTGATGGGATGAAGGAAATGTGGAGAGTTTGGTTCCTATTTATAGGCAGCTATGCAGTAGGAAAATGTTAAGATTATCCGTGTTGATAAATTGAATTTACTTTAATGCCCTCATCATACGTGTACGCGGCGTGTTGTGGTTAGCCACATTTAACATTTATGACTTCAATATGTGGGATGATATTTATGAGGATCGCCGAAGGTTCTTATTTTATTTTATTTACCTCTTTTTCTCAAATTAAAAAAGAAAAAGAATTAACGCATGAGATTAAAAAATAAAAATATAGAGAGTGTTTAACCAATATATATATATATATATATTTTTTTTTATCCCATCCGGTATCCAGTGCTTAGCCCTGACTAATCCGGATCCGATCCGCGTCGCGCACCTGATTATGGTGGGTAAGTATTTCCAACAGGGGCATATATATATATATATATATATATATATAGAGAATGAAACATAAAAGTGAAAACATTTGATGAAATTATTTGACTGGTACAAAAATAAAAAAGGATATGTAGGTTGTAAGAGTGAAATTCTCCCAATTATAAAAATCCAACTTGTACTTTCACTTCTCTCCCATAGTAAAAACCGTTCTCTTTCATAAACTAGGTACATTTATTATTATTCCAAAAGAGGAATTCCTTATAAAAATGGCAAGCCGGTATTAGTTTCCAATTTATATTTACTAGACATGTGGCCCGTGCGTTGCTGCGGGGCTGAAAAAATTTGAAGATGCATCTGATATTCATTTATAAATGATGATATAAGATAAGTTTGCAAGAGTATAATTCATTTACCTGCAATATCATTCTTTTTTTTTTTAAAGAAAGATCCAACTAAGGGTAGATCACATTAGTTAAGTTAATAACGACCTGAACTTTGACATCTCACTTGAAAATTGCCAAACATATTTTACAAAACATATGTTTGTCTGTCTAAATATATTTCAATCCAGGGAATAAATAATTCCTAACAACCCAAAACCCTTATCTTAATCAAATCCGTTATTAGGATGGAAGGCAGATTGAGGGGCAATGTTAGCAGTGGTGTAGAGTCTGTCTACTTCGTATAACTCCACACAAACCGGTTGAACATGATGTGGCTGGTGAATGCAAGAATCAGGAGAGCTATATTCTTCACTACAAAGAACCAACCAAGACTCCTGATTTCAATGCCCCACCCTGCATTTCCAAGCCAGACATCTTCCCATTTCTAAGCAAGACTATACAAACTGATATGGCTACCGTAACAGGGAAATATCTCTACTTGTCCCAAATCCAGCAACAAAACGGAGTCCTAATTGAGCAGCAGTAGAATAGGAGCCAAGAAAAAGATATTATTCTACTGTAACTTACATCCCATCTTGAAGGAAGAAACCGTTTTAACTTGGAATTAAGTTCAGGATCCATGTGAACTGCACTCTGCCAGACCAATACTATCCATCCTTTTGGTATGAAGTTACACATGCAAAAAACCAAGCAGTTGCCTATCTAAATCTTCTTAGTGATGAGTTTGGATTGTCTCACTTTCCCTGCTGCAAGTTGCAACTTGCAACTACCAAATGATTTTTCTAACAGTGAACATTAGCAATCCATATTAAACATCATGAGTTGGTAACATAAGCAAGGCACCAAGAAAGCAGGGTAAGAAGCTATAGTAGCATCAACAATAGAGTTCAAAAACAAATCCAATTAATTTGGGTATTTCATTGAAACATAAAAACAAACACATAGAATGCAATATGATCAAAGGACATGAAATTGAAAAGGAAGTTTATGAAGAAGTTGGCCACCAACTCACCTTCACTCTGACAGATACATTTCAAAATAAGAACGAAACCTTTTTGTCAAAATTGGAAGATTTACATTAAAAAGAGAGAGAGAGAAATCTGAAACCTCATATTTGCAGGAAATGAAGTTATTTGCATACATAAACATATAGGAAATAGATGCACTCACCTCAGACTTAAAACTCCTCTCAACCTGCAAAAATTGGGCATTAAAAAAGGGCAAATGGTTCGTCATAGAGAGGTTGGGATTAGCTAAAAAATTTATATTATGCAGATAGACATACATAAATATACATGTATAAGTTTGTGAAATATAAAGTTTCCAACTCACCTGTCTGCCATTGATGAGTTATTATTAATGCCATGCTGCAACTTCTCTTCTTCACCAACACTACGCATCATAAATACCAGCAAAATCAAAAATAGGTTGGTTGCCAACCATACAGTATAAGCAATCATCGCAGCACAAAAATGAAAGGAAAAGAACAGAGATAGAAGAAGAGAAAGAAGGGGAAAAAACCCAAAAGAGACATGCAATTGGAGCATTGCAGAAGCAATTGATAAACCAGACAAAATAACAAATGAGAAGACAGAAACTCAAACTGAAAATAGTTATCAGAATCATCCCAACAACACCTTATGAGTAAGATGTTTCTCTTTGAAAGGATAATAAATATGATACACACCATCAGCTTACTCGTTGAGGTTAAATATAAGACTTCTCATTCTATGTATCAAGAGAAGTATAGATAAAACAAATTGTAAGCTAAAATGGTCATCCGTCAATACACATTCACTCAACCTTTTCAACTGGACGTTTGCAAATGAAATATATTCTCACTAAAATGAGCAGCAGTAGCCAGACAAAAGAGAATGAAAAAGAAAAGAAAATGAAA